CCCCCCAATCCTTGCTGGCTCTGATCGGCCAGAGCTGGGCCTGGGAGCAAACACAGCAGCTGCCCAGAGATCGGAGCGGGCTCAGAGCTGTCACACTCCTGCTGACTTCTACCCGGGAAGGTGCGGGAACCGCTGAAACCTCAGACCCCACCAGGGAGTAGTGGCAGAGTCACCTTCTCGGGTGAGAATGGAAATCACATTTAATCTGGGCACCTTGCCCATGTTGCCGGGAAATCATTTGCATACGATTTGATTTCAGTATCCAGGTGCTCCTGAAAATTAGCTCCGTCCACTCCTCTCCCCCTCAGTGCCGGCCTTGACCTGAGAATGTCCCCCAGTTCACACAGGACTTGAGTTCAACTTTTTAACTCTCCAGATATTTCCTTCCTTCCTTCCTTCCTTCCTTCCTTCCTTCCTTCCTTCCTTCCTTCCATCCATCCATCTCTCTCTTCCTCTCTCTCTCTTTCTGTTTACAGACAGTTATTAGGTAGCTGTTACGTTCCCACCCACGGTGCCAGGTACTGGGCATCCAGAGATGAAGACAAGGGCTTTCTTTCAGGGAGTTCACACCCCAGCAGGGAAGACGGGAGCCAACAAGAAAACAAAGCTAGACTATGTCGATTGTGAGGTGATGCCATCCACCCAGGGGAAGGAAGCTGGGCGAGGGAGCGGGCATTTTTTTGTAGTGGCCAAGGAATGCCTTGCTGAGGAGGTGGCATTTGAGCTGAGAGACGGAGGAGTAAAGAAGTAGCCGAACAAAAGAGACAGGTGGAAACAGCGCTTCAGGCAGCAGGAACAGCGCGTGCAAAGGCCCTGAGGCGGGACGTGCTTGGCGTGACTGAGAAACAGAACAGAGGCCGCCGGGGGCTGGCGAGCCGAGAGATGAGCTGCGAGAGAGGCAGGAGCCCAGTCTGGTGTGGTGGGAGGCGAAGACCATGGCAGAGGACTTTGGATTTTATGCTGAGAAATGGGAAGACATGGATGGGCTTTTGGAAAACCCTGTTACAGAAGTATTTACATGACAGATACGCGAAGTTTAGGGAGCAGTAGGTCAAAATCCATGTACCCGTCGTATTTCCCTCCCTAGCACCATTTCTCATTCCTCCAGGGAGGTAGCTATTATCCCGAGTTTTACTTTATAATCTTTACATTTCTTCCCAATATTACAAAAATCGACCAATGCGTTGTTTGGGTTTGCCTGGTGTTGAACTTCATATAAGTGGAATCTTGCCGGGTGTGTGCTTCTGCGATTTCCTTTTCTGTTCGACGTCGCGCGTGTGAGAATGGTCCCGGCTGGCGCCTGTAACTGCAGTCTGTTCCTTTTCACTGCTGCGTAGTACTCCCCCGGATGTCACTTGTCATGGCTTAACCTTTCTCCTCGGACACGACCTTATTTGATTTTTTAATGTTGGACCGACCCTACACTTTGGGGATAAACGCAACTTCATGTGATGTATTCTCTTTTTTAAAAAACATTGTTGGGTCTGTTTGCTGAGATTTTGTTTAGGATTTTTGTTTCTTTGCTGGCGGGTCAGATTGGCCTGCCATTTCCCTTTCTTGCCTCGCCCTCTTTGGTTGTGGGATCCAGGTTACACACTCCGAATCAGGTGACCTGGGAGAGGGCGTGTTTCCTCCCCTCGCACTCTCCGGAGCACTCGTGTGAGACGGATGAAACCATGGGAGGGTTTGGTAAACGTAGCTGCCATGCCCTTCTGCAGCCCCGCTTCTTTGGTGCAGACCCTCGGCTTCTTTCGGTTGAGCCGCCCTTGCCTGGACCGCCACCCAAACCCAGGCCCGAACCCCCAGCAAAACGCAGAAAGCGCGCGTGTCCCGCATGAGCACCTCGCAGCGGGACGCTCGCAGCTTGCTTAGAGCTCCGTGTCTCTGGTTTTTCACAGGTGGGTCCTTGACGCAGGATCTGAGCATGAAGAGTAGTTTCCAGGCCTTTCTCGAGCCCCCCAGGTAACAAAAGGTAAGTGCCTCTCTTAACTGGTTAAAGATTTTTCTTGAAAACTCAGACACTGGATCAACTCACTTAGCCCTTAAGACCATGAGGCATGAAGGGCCCGACTCCAGGGTCCAGAGGGGAGTCTGGCCGAGCTGGGGTCCCTTGGGGTCCTAAAATAGACCAAGGCGGCTCTGCTTCAGGAACACATTGGGAGCTATGTCATCTAAATCCCCTAAGCACAAAATTAGCTTCTTTCCATATATTTCAAGGGGAAAGAGCACCATCCTAAATATAACACGGTCAACAAGCCAGAAACAAGATGAACGGCCACCAGCTGCACCTCGGGGAGCTGGGTTTTCAGGTCCCCCCGGGAAGCCGGCGGGATCCGGGTCCCCAGAGGGCGGCGGAATCCACCAGCAACTTTATGCCACCGCTGGACACGGAGCCCTGCCGTGAACCCCCAAAACAAAATCCCTTATTTCATTTTCTTTTTCTAAAAGCAACACGTGCATTTCTCTGTTTTCTAATTCTCATTTTCCCCATAAGACAAAGAAAGGAAAAAAATCGATCTAATCCCATCACACAGAGAAAATAACGATTAACATCACGGTATGTGTAATTCGAGTGCTTTGCAATGGACTGTGATACATTAAACAGTGTTTCGTAACCTCTCTTTCCCTTGTCCCCTAAGGACTCTATTTTATAAACGCCCTTTTTGTAATGCTCCCCCACCCTCACGCATGAACTTTATTTTCTTTTTAAAAAATATGTTTTTATTGATTTTTTTTAGAGAGAGGAAGGCGGAGAGAGAGAGAGAGAAACACCCATCGGTTGCCTCCCATACGCTCCCTGACCGGGGACTGAACTGCAATCTAGGCATGTGCCCTGACCAGGAATCGGGACAATGCTCCAACCAACTGAGCCGCACCAGCCAGGCCCCATGAAATGTTTTTTGCTGTTGTTGTTGTTGTTAAACATATCTTTATTGATTTCAGAGAGAGGAAAGGAGGGGGAGAGAGAGAGAGAGAAACATCAATGATGAGAGAGTCATTGATCGAGCCTGCAACCCAGGCATGTGCCCTGACCGGGAATCGAACCCCGATCGCCTGGATCCTAGGTCGATGCTCAACCTCTGGGCCACGCCCGGCCGGGCCCCATGAAATGTTAATAGCACAGAGATACTGTTTATGGACTGTGGAGGCCACAGACCACTCTGATATCTAAAATTATTACACCATCCCCAGGAACCAAGCTTTTCCTCTGGTGGGTGATCCCACCCCGTTCAGAATGCAGGCTTTATATAATATTTAATCACAGTCCCTTCTGTAAGAACTTACTCTGTGCTGGTCACACCCCATTCCAGGTGCTTTTCCTTGTCATGACTCCCCTCTGAGGTGAGGGCTAGAGAGCTTTCTCTCTGTTTTACAGTTGTGGAAATTGAGGCACAGAGAGGTTAAGTAACTTGCCCAAGGTCACACAGCTAGGAAGATACAGAGGATCTGAGCACAGGCAGCTTGGCTCCAGAACTCACACTTAACCACCAGGCTCTGTTGCCTTGCAACAACACATTCTGATTGTAAAAAGCCTCAAAATACAGAAATAGGGAGTAAAAGGGACACAACCAAGGCCCCTCCCTCCCCAGAAGCAATCATTATTATAAATTAGGAATGTGCCCCTCATCTGGGATTTTTATACATGTTTATATATATGAAAATATATTGTCTCTGTTGTATTTTAACATGAGTAGGATCATCCAGTCTTTTTTCTTATATATTCAAATATACATGTCTGTGTATAGAATTTTTAAATTAGTATCACACTGAGCATACTATTATTTTAACCTTGCTGTTTGACTTTAAAATATATCACTAGCTGCCTTGAGACCATAATTTAATAAGTGCCTGGACCATATTTTTTGGAACCACATTCAGACTATTGGCTGTTTAAGTAGTTTCTAGCTTCTTGCTACCATAAAGCTTTGATGAATATCCCTGCCTCGCACATAACTTATAGAAGTTGGAATTGCAGAACCAGAGGCTGTAAACGCTGTTGAAACTTCTGATCCATAAATGCCAGAATTTGCCATCCAGAAACACTGTCGGAAGTTGCCCTTCCCAACAGCCTCACCCGCCCTGGGTGTTATGGTCTATTTTCAATCATTGACCGTTGAACAGGCCTAGGATGTGTGGATCCTGACGTTTTCATCTCTGCCCACGACTCTCATCCGGGGCCTGGAGGCAACGCTTGGATGGAGAATTAACGAGGGGGCAGTGGTTAAAGTGGCCCCAGTCACTGCTTTAATAAACACACCGTCAGCCCCAGCCGAGGGCTCAGTGGTGAGAGCACTGCCCCGCAGACTGAAGGGTCCCGGGTTTGATTCTGGTGAAGGGCACATACCTCTGTTGCAGGCTCGATCCCTGGCCCCAGTCAGGTGTGTATGGGAGGCGACCAATCGATGCGTCTCTCTCACATTGATGTCCCCCCCCCCC